TAACTAAAGATTTTTAGAGTGCTACTACAAGAATATCGGGTTTGACGTGTGCAACATAATCTACATACCAGACACATATCAACGATGTAGATGTTGATAATACGAAGAACGTGACATTGTGTTTTTAAATGTTAAGTTTTAGACTGGGTTCAGTGTGGCAGCAACGTTAAGAGTATACACCTGATGATGGCCGATAGAGGCCGAAACATGTAGTGTAGAAAGAACAAGATCAAAGACATATAAATGTATATTGTTTGCACTTAGGACGGAGTTTGTATCATTTATAGAAAACTAAGTACATGTTGCTGTCTCGTCACCGGAATGGAGGCCAGATAGGTAACATATGTTCTGAAAATGTGGCACAGTTCAGATATTTGGGAATGACGATAACAAATCAAAATCTGGTTCAGGAGGAAATTAAGAGGCTACTGAACTCAGATAATGCTTGTTACCATTCAGTCCAGAACCTTTTGTCTTCTCGTCTGCTGTCCAAAAAACATAAAAATTAGAATATATAAAACTATAATTTTGCCTGTGGTTCTGTATGGGTGTGAAACTTGTCTCTGACATTAAGGGAGGAACATAGACTGAGGGTATTTGACAACAGGATCCTGAGGAGAATATTTGGATCGAAAAGAGATGAAGTGACAGGAGATTGGAAAAAACTGCATAATGAGGAGCTTCATAACTTTAGCTCTTCTGCAAGTATAATTACAATGATCAAGTCAAGGAGGACGAGGTGGGCAGGGCGTGTAGCGAGCATGGGGAGAAGTCATGCTGTAGGATATTGGTGGGAAAGCCAGAAGAAAAGAGACTAATATGAAGACCTAGACGTAGGCGGGAGGATAATATCAAGATGGGGAGAGACAGGATAGAGTGGTATGGACGGGGCTGATCTAACTTAGGATAAGGACCGTTGGAGGGCTCTTGTGAATAGGGTAATGAAACTTCAGACTCCATAAAATGTTATGAAATTCTTCAGTAGTTGAGCGACAAATGGCTTCTCAAGAAGGATTCAAATTCCACAAGATGTATTGGATGCTGGGACGCCATTCGGAGCTCTCAACAGAGAACAAGATCCTATTATATAAAACTATACTAAAACCGATATGGACCTATGGCATACCCTTATGGGGTACCGCTAGCAACTCCAACATCGAAATTCTTCAACGATTCCAAAATATGGTACTGCGTGTACTAGTTAACGCACCATGGTACGTACCAAACTTCGTCCTACACAAGGACCTGGGAATTCCAACAGTACGCGAGGAAATCACGCTCTCCAGCAAAAAATATTAGGCACGCCTCCGGAAGCACCCGAATTCCTTAGCGACGCACCTCTACGATGAAGAAGAAGTCAGGAGGCTTCGCAGATTCAAACCGTCAGAACTGTTAACCAGATTTGCTATCTAATTTTGTAAAACAATTAACTAGTTGACTATAATTAGTTAAATTACATATAGAACGAGTTCATTGGAACACGTTCTTCATGTTAAATTACTTTTACACTTTTACACTCATCATAACTAGTACTTATTATCCATAATAGCTGGATAGATTGTATAATAAATTGGAGAAATAAAAAAAAAAAGGATTCAGCTCCATACAGTTAGACCTTGATGGAAAGACAATACTGGAATCTGTATTATAGAAATTATGGATTGTACAAACTAGCTCACAATACAGTAAGTCCTAGTTAACGTCGGGGATGCTTTCTTGTACACTCCGACTTTATGCAAAACGAAGTTAGCGGATCCATTTTACCACAGGAAACTTAAGAAATAAACAGGTTACGTTCCACAGCCTTTCATTGACTTTATGAGGTAAAAAAGGCAAAGTTGTACCTGTGCTTAACTAATTAAGCATTACATCATGAAGGCGTACCGGGGAATGGGTGCATAGATCCACAATTTCTTGACCTCGGTAATAGTTGGAGATGAGTGGTCAGCCTCACGCTCCGGCGCTTTACCCCCGGTACCCATTGAACAGGAGATTGAGTGAATCCCAGAGCCGGTCTGGACGACGTGGAGAAAATTCTTGACCCTACCGGGACTCGAACTCCGACCTCTTGGTCGTCCAACTCGTAGCTAATTAAATTCTAGATAATATGGACCTCCATGAACTTCTCCGTTCACTTCGGTTTTTCTAGATCTTACACATACGGTAGGACTCCTTGGGCGAGTGATCAGCTCGTCGCAAGGCCTCTACCTGTACACAAACAAAGAAAAACGCACACAAACATCCATGCCCTGAGTGGGATTCGAACCCACGATCTCGGTTTCCGAGCGAGCGAAGACAGTGCACGCCTTAGACCGGTCGGCTACCGTGACCGACGCATTGACGCTATTTAAGTATTTGTATATTCTTGGCTACAAATACATGCAATTACAGACTACAGTAATGTTTATGTAACACTTAGTACGGTACATTGTATTTATCGATGGCCAAATGCGAAGCGAGAGACCGGTGGATGACGACCCAATCTCGTCAACATTAAACATTTGTGTGGGCGAGTAACCCTCCTTTCTGGCCGCGCCATAGCTCAAGCGGTTAGTCGTTGGCTTCCCACTGTTGCGGCCCGGGTTCGATCCCGGGTCTGGTCAAGTAGGATTTGTTGTGGACAAAGTGGCACTGGGGCGGGTTTTCTCCGAGTACTTCGGTTTCCCCTGCCGATCTTCATTCCACAAAGTTCTCCATCATCGTATTCACCCGGAGCAGGTACAATAGGCCAATCAGTGGCCGCCGTGCCAAGTGGACCTAGCTGGATCCCACCCCCCACTAGCGAATTAAAAAAAAATAGTCGCTGGCTTTCCATCGCTGCGGCCCGGGTTCGATCCAAGGTAAAGCCATGTGGGCTTTGTGGTGGACAAAGTGGCCCTGGGGCAGGTTTTCTCCGAGTACTTCGGTTTCCCCTGTCAATTCTCATTGTACCGACTGCTCCATACTCATCATCTATCATCTGGGGCTGGTACAACAGGCCAATTAGTGGCCGCAGTACCAAGTGGACTCAGTCTCACCCCACTTCATGAAGCTGAAAAACCCGAAAAAAATAAGTTCGGCCCATTTGAAATATAGGAAACGCGCCGAAATTCTAACAACATTGATTAACTGCAATAGAATAAATGTTCCGTGACTGCAATCAGGAGTGTAGAAACGGACACTAATCTACATGCATCCTGTATCCAGCTCATAAACGTACATAGTTTGCATATGATGTGAATAGGAAAACTTACTTCAATGTGTTACCTCACAGAAGTAAGGAAATATTAACCGATGCACTGTAAGAAAAGGGGAGTACCTGCCGTTAATAGAGCCATGTAAATCACACTACATATCAAATACGTATTTCCTCTGGAATTAGGAGTTCAGAATTGCACCTCAAAAGTCAGCTGTTTTAGTTCTAGCGCACAGGAAAACATGAACATGTAAATTCACCCTTCTCATACAGCGAGATCAATTTATCTGTTTTCCTTAGTATAATTACCCATTATTCCGAAGGACAAGGTTCTATTTTTTTAACCCACTAAGTTAACATGCAAGCGTATTGTAAGCATGGCATGTTACATCATGACGGCTGTTAATCGATATTTCCATTCAATCAAGGAACATAATAAATATAACACGTGAAGGAAAATCGTTATTCGTCTGAAATATGAAGCATACGCTACATTCATTATTATGAATAATAATAATAATAATAATAATTAATATTTTTGTTGCAATTACAATTTATGTATTTGTGTCTACGCCATCTGAAACCATATTTATGGCGCTGGAGCCCATGGCCTGCGCACTTGCCCTGGTGGGCTGCATCACTGCACAGCGAAGTCGTGAAATACGCAAGACATCTTGCGATCTCCAATCGCTCCAAGTGCGGTGTAAGGAGGAACATCAAAAGCGACTTAAAATGCGCGTCTAATACGTTGTAAATTAATGATCAGGTGAACACGTAACAATAGTAACAATAGTGTAACTGACAGAGAGCGAGAGTTCAGTGTAACACGGAAACGAGCAGGTGAATTACAGGAAAGGAAGTTGAGTGAGTATAAGAGAAATATATTCATACACCCACTACTTTTTAACGATTTTAATAGAAAGATATTCATATATCCACTACTTCATAAGTCACTAGTGAACAAAGCTTCGTATGACAGAGGTGTCCGTGGAAACGTTCGTTAATCCCATTTCACGTTTCATACCTATAAAATTTATGTCATGAATTCTGTATTTCAGCATCCTGTTGCAAAACTTTAATTAAAACGTCTATGTATCCACAGTCCGTTAATAATGTAACAATTATTTATTCACCATTTAACACTTAACACAACATGTTTCGGCCACAGATGGCCATCTTTAGGTGTCTTACTGCAACCAAACTGTTACACTGCTCTGAAGTGCACTAAAACCGCACGATGAAGTCTGCTTAAAAATAACATAAATAATTAATTAAAATCCAGACACCTGAAGATGGTCATCTATGGTCTAAACATGTTGTGTTAAGTGTTGAATGGTGAATAAATAATTGTTGCATTATTGAAAGACTCTGGGTACATAGATGTTTAATTTATATCATGAAGATTAAACAAATCGTGTATCAGTCCTTATTAGATTATAAAGATATAAGAGGCAACAGTTTTGTCAGTTTTTAAATTAAATTTATCTTATGGTACAAGAATCAAAACGGCTTGAGGGAAGAGCGTCCCAGGCAATATTTCAGACTCTAAATATTACACATGACGATTTGTGACGATTTGACAAAGACCCACGAAAATATCGAAAATGGAATGAATGGCACGTACAGACATTCGAATATGATGTTGTATACTGTCCATTGTTTGCGGTACACTTCATAAATACTACGTTCCGTGAACCTGAGCCATTTCCGTCATAAGACATGTGGGAAGTGGAGGGAGCATCGTACTCACTTGGGTTCATTAATCTCGATCACTGAACTATTGATGTTGCGATTGTTGGTGGTGTTAGTGTTACTGTTAGTATTATTATTTGCATGTACAATAAACAACAATTAAACTGACTTATTATTATTAACCTCTTTGAAAATCTATACTTTTCATTTCTCAATTAAATATTTATACGTTTCATTTCTCAGTTCTCAATAACACTAGATTTATGTTAATGAAATTATTATTATTGCTATTATTATCATTTGTTTGTTTGTTTACTTGGCTGCATTACTGATTTATGTTAATGAAATTCTTGTTATTATTGTTGTTATTTCTTTGTGTGTTTGTTTGTTTACTTGTCTCCATTTTTGTGTTTTCTTCTAGTGTTTGCCTGTAATTTGTCTTTGACTTTGCGTTGTGTTTGTCTATAATGTAATTACTTGTATCTACCCTGTGCTCTGTCTGTAATTGGCCTTGCGGCTGTTGACTCGGCAAATAAATAATAAAGAACTGAATTGAATTACTATTAAACAACTTAACGTTTTACCTGATTGCTAAAAATAGGAATATCATGGCTCATACAGTTAGCTTAAGCTGAGGTTGCCAGATGTCCTACACAAACAATGACACAGCATTGCAATTAATCAGTCCTTCTACACTACCAACAAGCACTTAATCCACAAACGAACAGTTACTGAAATAAACATGAAAACTTAAAAAAAACCTACAAATAATTCTAAATATGTAATTTGTTTTGTGATTACTGTTTAAAGTCAAAGGTACGTCTAATTATGTGGTCGTGTAATACAGCTATAAAGTTATACAGAAATAACAACACGGAATATTCATTGCACCAGAACCAACATCTAAAATCTTTATGATGTATTATATAAAAAAAATTAAATATCAAATGTACCCCTGACTATGGACAGTGGGAAATACATATTCGTATAATGAATCAACCACTGCCACAGAGATTTAGACAATCATGTCTAGACTTATGAATTGCCTCACGAGGACATATTTCCGCTACGAAAGGCATGTTAAAATTTGAGACCGTTCATTTCCATCGTTTCCTTAATGGCGTCATATTTATCAAGCCAACGAATCTTATGGGGAAATTGTTTACCAGCTAAGTGACTATGAGTTTAGGAAAACTCTCCTCCGTCCGTCTTTTTTTACATGTTATCTCAGTTTCATTACGAATAATTGGTTTATGGAACTAAACATAATGAAACTGATAGGCACAATAAGGTGATCACTCTAAAGTAAAATATTGCCCGAATTTAATGATATTTGGATAAAATAAGTCAACTTTACCGAACATTCCGGTTGTTTAGAATTATGAAGAGCTTCTTTTGAAGTTTTGAATGCATTGTTATAGGCCTTCACTAAGTTTCATAAATAAACACCTACGTACTCTTAATGTATCTACTGAAATATGTATACAGGTTTTAACAATGAATATGGGAGGTAAGCAGGGTTATTTTACAGATATCCCCTTTAGAAAATAACACATACTACACATTTGACTGGCGATTTATTGGTCCTGTGCACTACAATACCTAGACGCCACTGACTCTGAAAAGTTTATCGTGAGAAGTGAACATCAGGGACCTTCTTTTATGGCATCCACTTACAAAACGGAATAGAAAATAATATCGATCCTATGATGACCTTCGCTTGAGGGAGACATAACCACAGATTTCGTGGTGTATATAATAATAACAATAATAAAGTTTCCAGCCCTTATAATGAAGATTTGTTCTGAAGTAAGTCTCTAATTGACTTTAAAGGGCGCTGTACTGATTTCTACTTTATTCTGAACACGTAATAATGTTCCGAAATTTCTAATTAATTTTCAAATGCACTTGACTAATTTTGCTTTCTTCCGAACAGGTAATAAACAATAGGCCTACTGCAGTATTAACTTCGACTAAGGAAATTCAGAGAGACGACGTAGAAGGGTCAAAATTAAAAGATTTTAAGAAAGAGGATCTCTCATTTCACAGCCATGTGCTGAAATAAATTCGCCGTTTTTCTATCTGCACACCTGAAACATGGCTGATAGTTGCGCTATCTGTATCAATCTTAACTCCCGCAGAAGTTGGGTAGCTCATTAATCTAACTAAAATAAAATCCGCCCTATTTTCTTCACGTTCGGAGAACTTCACACTTCGCGAATACATCAAGTGTAATCTATTAATTTTCTGGGTTTTCATTGAAATTTATATGCCTAAGGTTTTCGTTGCTAGAATGGATTTGAAATTCTAGAAAATCCACATTCTAACTGCAAATGTAATTATAGTATGTACTTTCAATTTTAGAACTGTTATTATGATTACCGGCTTTATAGCTGTCATCAAGCATGTTAGGAAATTAAATTAAATGAATCATCACAACCACCACCACCACCCCCATCGGCTGACGAAAACTGACTACTTACATATGACAGGTCTGAGATTATTTGCCCCGTAGAGTTGAATCTAATAACGAAACAGTTAACGGCTTCTGGAAACGCTGTGACCCACACTGCACGCAATTTTCTATGCAAAACTCGAATACAGATTACTATGTCCAGGTATACTGCATGAAAACCATGGAAATGCACATTCAACTCGACATACGTGTATATTCTGCTCAGGACACCCACCTACATGACTCTGGACACTTCTTTGCAGGCGACAGCAAGTTTTCACCTGTTACACCAAGACTCAACAAAGAAAACAGCATCGGAACTCACGAGGAAGGGAATTTTATAACGGGACTGTTACTTCACCACATCTAACAGCAACGGGAGATCTTAGTTTGTTCAATCATGACATGCAAAACCTACCTCTCCCCGCACTCAACGACTCTGCTATCAGCCTGCTACTGTTCTTGAATTCAGTCTTCCACAGACCTTCAAACGTTTCGCCCCAGAACACATAATCTCTGTTAAACATTCATCAATGACATCGCGATGGAACGATCAGCATTGCTTTGTATTCTAGAAGTCCGAGATTCATACCTTAGACCGAAGACCGGTTTTCCAGACAAATGCAGGGTTAGTACTTCAAATCAGGCCATAACCGTTTCCTTCCATATCCCTTCTACTTCTTCAGTAACCATGCAAATTTATATGCTCTTAATGTGAGCTGCTAACATCGTCGCTAAAGAAACCGAGTATAAATGAACACGGAGTTCCCAAAAAGTAGGTACACAATTATTTATTTTTGAGAGCCTGTTTTTAGTTGAGGTGACGAAATTTTCACATCAGTGTTCCTGGCAATTTCAGTGTTTTCTGATCTCCAATAGAGACTCAGCTCTCACCTAAGTTGGCAAGTAGGTTAACAACCATTATGATCTGCTATAAAGAGAATAGGAATTACACAGATTCCTACTTTTGGGGCATTCTGTAGAGTATCCTATAATTAATAGCATTAGGAACTCAATTATCACAACAGAAAGAAACCCCGGCTGCTTCGAACATTTTGTTCTTCCTTTTTCATAGAGGTTTGGGAATAATGTACTGTGTACGGTAATTCGGATAACTGCATATAGAATAATTTTATTAAGTACCTTTATTGAGCAAAATGCTGTAGGCCTATAGTAGTACATGGGCCTATGTATACAGGAGCTTTTACAAGTAGTTACTATAGGATTCTGACGATGGTGTATAACACACAGAGATATTGGGTTTTCGGACTTTATCCATCGTCCTGGTTTTNGTCCGAAAACCCAATATCTCAGTAGCTTTTTCGTTTAAAATACCGGACACATTTTTCAAAATGTTTATATTATTTAATTCGTAATGGAAGTGTTGTTCTCCTAGTCCACCGACTGGCTCAGTTAACGCATAAGAAAAGCAACCACACCATTTTCTGAACACCTAGGCCTACTCAGTATCTTATTCTTCCAGGTGAAGCCCGAAAATACCATGCAGATATTCCTGCAGATATTCTTTGCCTTCGTCTTCTTTCCAATTGCATTCACTCAGACAAGCGTGAAATTTTGTGAGTATTGTTACCACATATTCATTGTACTGAATGTATTCTTTCAATTACTTTAAGCTCCATTGTTATCTCTATGAGAGTGCTGGTTTTCTACAATCGATTATCAACTATCCAATTTCTTGCTGCAGAAATAGCAATTCATGTTCTACAGAAGTATACTTGTATTAGCACTAATATAAATCAAATACAATGAATAATGATATCACTTTATCGGAACCATGTCTTATTTATAAACGGAATTAAAATATTAAAAGTTCTGAACCATGATTTTGTTATTATTATTCGTATAAAACATACAAATAAAAAAGAGCACAAACGTAAGGGGTGAAATACATACACCATTACATGTAATTTCGTATGTGAGAGAAATTCTAGTCGTGGGTGAAGAACAGAGATTGAGGGCGTCTGAGAACAGAGCACAGAGTGGGTATTGGGAACTAGAAGGTAAAAGTAGGCTGAAGAAAGATACACAAGTAGGAACGTCATAATTTGTACTCTTATCAAAATGCTATTATGGTTAAAAATCAAGAATGATGAGATGGATAGAACATGTAACACGCATGGGAAAGATAAGAAACTCGTAAAAGCTTTTCGCCGGAATATTTCAGGGGAACAGACTTCTTGGAAAATCTAGGTGTAGATGGGATGATGATATTAAAATGGATCTTGCAGAAATATGGTATGATGTGTGGGCTATACCATCAATTTCGGGTTCATGAACAAGATAAATAAATTTTGGGATTCCATAGAAAAAGGGAACGTATTGACTGAGTGACTATCAGCTTTTCAAAAAGGATCGTCTCCCTGGAGTTAGAGAGGAATTTACTTTCTCACGTCTACTTCAAACAACGTGTAGATTCTTAATGGTTCTGCCGATGGTGTACAAAACTCGGAATTACAGGTTCTCTTTATTTAGACAATCTCCAGTACTCTAAAGAGAGCAGCGTTTCGGAAACTGATATGTTTCCACCCAATGAGAGGTTAGCCACCCCCTCATCTGAGAACGGAAGCAGATTCAGTTTCCGAAATGCTGTGTTCTTTAGAAAACTGGATGATGGGAGAAAATCCAGAAAACCTTGTAATCCCGAGCAAAATAGCATGTGTTATAATACGAATTCCTTCCTTTAAAAACTGAGTTGTATACAAAATGACTAAGATTTAACGACGTAAGCAGTAGTGGAATGTTTTTAAGACTCACTTTATGAACGCCCTTCCTATAAGACCTTTCTAAACTGTACATGTCCTTCCAGTGGTGCTTGTGGAGATGCAACAGGAGAAGCTGCCCGGCATGTACTCACAGGTCATGAAAGAAGCACAAGACAAGACTGGACTCATAATGGACGATATAACTGTCAAGATCAACAGGGAAGAGGAAGAAGAAACTTTCGGCAGAGGTCAGTAGGCCAATTGATCACAATTTTATACTTACATCAATCTAATACATAGGTTAAGAATGATGAAGCTATACCTCCAATCCCACATGCGTATTCATGGCATGACTCTTGATAAGTCAGGGATAGGTTTCCCTTTTCTACGCTTTCCCACTCGCTTTGAAATGTCCCACAATGGCCGCTGTCTTTCTGTCACGAGAAGACTGAATGTTACAGCTTAAAATCGATGACAGAAAAAAAGTCCCTTTTCGAGAAAATTCGTTTTTGGTGTCGTAATAAATGAAGAAGCATCTAGTTTATAAAGCACTGATCCTCAAACATACAGTTTGCTCTCACTGGAACTAGTTCGGGGAAACTTTTCGGAGTCCCTCCCTCACACTCTGATGGAAGTCACGCGATGTGTTTCACAGCTTCCGCGCTTCTCTGAATATGTTGTTATCTGGATGTTCTGACAGATTGGTCATGAATCTCCCAGTCCCGTAGGGTGAAACCAATAGTGAAAACATAAATGCAAAGAATCAGCATGTGGTCAAGTGACGTGAAGGTTCTGCGTATAAAACTTGCGCCACTAGAAAAGACTATTATGACGACCGAAACAGAAGACCTCTAATAACATACATCAATATTATGCTATACACACCAGAAATACAATCAAGCAATTAAAGTAGAATTGTATACGCACTACATAAAAGATAAGAAGAAAACATCAAAAACGAAATAAAGTAATAGAAGGAATGATATTGGATTAGTGCGCAGTGCATTAGGATTCCTCATATAAGTGTTGCCTGAAGATGACCTTATATGACCGAAATGTGTAGCATCATAACAACGCATAAATATTTTTATATTTTAATAGTTGTAATAACATCTTATAAACATAACCATCACTGTGTGGATTAAAGTGTGAACCAATGTTACTGATTGTTGCATTATAGATGGAACATTTGATAGACTGTAAGTGGAACATGCATTATCTTCTGAAAGTTAGCGGTTAAAGGGGGCGGGAATTCCGAATCATCTTAAAGAACTTGCCTGATATTACTATCTTGTGTATTGTGACTGTCCATCGAAACTGCATGTATAACACAGCTGGTGAATTGTTAACTAAAATTAGTTATTGTCAGAGACAGAAAAAAGATCAGGACGTAACGTCAGTATAAGATACTAGCTGGATCAAAAACATTGTCAATTCTACTACAGTCTTATCTCATCTATTCTTGACTACAGATACAGAGCTAGGGGAGTACGCGTATCAAAGCACGAGCGATGCGTCTTACTCTTCCCATAGCTAACACCAACGACATGCTCATCGTTTAAAAACAGCACATAAGATCATTTTACTATCCATTGTTACTAAAAACGAGATTGTAAAAGTACACAGCGTAAGTTTAACGGCGCGCTCGTAATTACAAATGGTCTGCCAACATCCATGCTCTTTACTTGTTTAGATGTTTGTGACATCGGTAAAAAGGTAAAGCTATCCCTGTAACAGGCCGTGGAGGCCCATAGGGTTGTGAGATGTCGAGGCACCCACATTTTCTAGGCAATCGGCTCACAGATGGCGGTAAGGCTCTCAGCCTTACGCGCCGGCTGCCCTTTACCCTCCAGGAAGATTCATTTTACTCATTTATGTTTGGGGCTGCGTAGACCCCAGGGCCATAGTGCCGCTGGAAGGATTAGGTAGATAGTAAAATCTAATGACCTCATCGGGAATCGAACCCGCGACCCTCCAGCTTGCAGCATAGTGCATCAACCAACTACGCTACCGTTGCTTCATTCATTATTCCAACACTATGCTGAGCACTGTCCGCTGTCTCGGGTATATTTGATACACACAACGCTTCGGAAAGTAGATGTGTTTCCCTCATCAGGTGTACAAAAGAGAAAAATATCCTACATATCTGGGCCCGATATCGAGTCCAGTTCTTTCAAACAGATGCATTACAAATATGAATAATTTGGAGAAAAATGGTTAACTTTTTTAACTTTATAATTTTAACACTATACCAATAATATGGCTATCTAATTATGTGCTTTTTAACAGTCTGCAATGAGGTCATGAAAGGTGTCACTCTGATCCTGGACTTGACTTGGACGGGCTGGGGACGCTGCCGACAATTGTCAGAGAGCACAGGCATCCCATATATTCGGGCGGATGCAACCATTGGAGGCTTCGTGCAAGTTGTGGATGCCTACCTAACCGAAAGGAAGGGGACTGATGCTGCACTCATCTTTCAGAATGAGGAAGGTCAGTATAATTCCACAGTCATGTAAATGTCATTAATTATAAAAATATTGTGTACATTGGCAACTGTCTTAGTTATATTTAAATTATAAGGCGTTTCTGAAACTGCTTTTATTCCCATCATTAAGTATAAAAAGAGGAAAGGTTCCTACTCAGTTGGGCCCATCAGATAGAGATAATCTCAATACCAGTGATTGAGACTGGCATTAACGGGCCGAGCTGAGTAGGATACTTCCTCATTTTACTCCTGATGACGGAAGCAGATCCGGATTCCGAAATTACGTATGATTTATATATATGAATGAATGGATGTATAAGGGGTGGGCGTCGAAATAGTCACTTGGTTCCATAAAGTACTGACCCAAGTGACGTGTTCTTAAATAAGCTAAGGACTCACATTCACACAAGATATGTGTGTGGCTGTTTCATTTTCTTCTTGACACCTCTCACAAGTGGGACTATCACTTAGTCCCAGTTTCAACAGGTGTCCTTTGAGGTGACTGTGTCCTGTAAGTAGTCCCACCACCCTGGCAGCACTGTTAAACAAGCTTAAAATTATCAGTATGCGACTTGTACGTCCATTAGGTACGAAACGAAAACTAGCCAAACAATAAACTGTGTTCATATCACAGATTGTTGCAAATCTATTTCGGCTCTCACACATGCAACACACATATTAAGAACCAGATATGCGGTGACATTACACTCACTACAAACTGCAATGCGTAATGGTTGTCATGTGTACTCATGATTTATATATAACTAGGACAATGGACAATGTCCAACACTATTGAAGTTTCATTACTTCCAATCTTCTCCAAGTATAATTAGAATGATCAAGACAAGGAGGATGAGATGGGCAGGGCATGCAGAGCGAAAGGTGGCGAAGCGGAATCCATATAGGATATTGGTGGGAAAGCCAGAAGGAAAGAGACCACTGGGAAAACCAAGGTGTAGGTGGGTGGACAATATTAGAATGGACCTTAGAGAGATAGGATGGGATGTTATGGATCGGATTGATCTGGTCCAGGATAGGGACCAGTGGAGGGCTCTTGTGAACACGGTAATGAACCTTCGGGTTCCATAAAATGCTGGGAACTTCTTGAGTAGCTGCAGAATTGGCAACTTCTCAAGGAGGGCTCTACTCCATGAGTGAGTGAGTGAGTGAGTGGGTGAGTGAGTGGGTGAGTGAGTGATGTGTAACGGCTAAAAGAAAATGTTCTGCTTTCTATGAAAGGGACAAAATTTGACGTATGAATTTGGCATAACTATGATGCAGAGTTGGACCAGGCGCTCTACTACCTGATTGGCAACTCCATTATCCGGGTGATCGTGTTGGATGGGTTGCCTGGCAACTCAACAGACAGGTTGCTGGCAATGCGGCCCGTACCGTCCTACTTCGTCATATTTGGGGACACAGAAAACGTGATCAAACTGTTCAAAAAGGTAAGCATCTACCGGACACGACAGAATTCAAGTTGATAACGGAAAGTGAAAGAAAATATACTTTAAAATGACAGATTTAAAGAGTATCCAAAGCCGAAATCTAAACTCCTCCTGCATATCTGAGGGGTTTTGTGCCATACAAATTTAGTGCAGTTCGTAGTCTGGTTCTTAAAGTCTCACTCAACTATGCACCTTCTTTAAGGCAGTCGCCGAAAATGCCCATACCTCATAGATCTAAATAATTATCTCAGCTACATCGCCTGTACCTCCCTCACTTACAGACCTAATCTGTTAGATAACTCTATTCCTGACCACGTCCTCCCCAAAGCACACATAATGCTGAAACAAAATTGATTTGTCTTCCAGGGACCTGAAAATTATGAAGAAAGTCTGCTATTGTAATTACTACATTTTAGACCTAAATAAATTTGGCTTAAAAATCTGGATAGTTTAATCTATAAGTCAATACATACGTGGTAACTCTTTCTCGCTGTCTGCATTAAATTTCAGTGCTTGACGCGCTTCTCCTCAAATCGTTATCAAAGAAAGCAGGCCTATATGAAATTAGGTACAATCGACGATCGCTTTCTGCCGCTTAAACTATTTTTCCCTCCGAATCTTACAGCTTTCTCTCAGTGCATTTCTTGACATTACAGCGTAGGCCTATTGCCGCACACTCGTCTTGCTAAAAGCAGGCTCAAAAACTTCCCTAAAAAGTATCTCATAAAGTCTATAAAAATAAATTACATCTCCATTAATTTTTCTAATAAACGTTTCCGGTAAGTTGCCGCACAGGCATGTTAGTAATAAATATTTTTCTTAAAAAAAATAGCAGCCCTTTTTATACACTTGTTTCAAATATTTCAAATTAAAAAATTATTCCTTAATGAGTGACAATTTTAGCGGATAGAGGATGTTGCGGGGTCAGCGCAACGAATCCCTACGACCGTTGATCTCGGTTTTCTAGACCGGGGCCGCAATTTCCTTGAAATAGCTCCTCAATTATCCTCAGGAGGCTGAGTGGACTCCGCTCCAGACCCACAACTTCTCAGAAAATCTTGTAGAGCCAGGAATCGAATACGGGACCTCTGGATCTGCAGCCAGGAACTCTGACCACTAGACCACCGAGGGCTCTAACTTCGCCGACGAGAGGCGGTCGCTCGGTCCGTATAGTTCGCTTACGGACTACAGGTCACTGAATTTGTATTTCTTAATAAGTATCCTGTCTGATCCCTATTCTCCAATCGTTTTATCACGAACTTAATTCTTTAACACACAATGAAGAAAACATCTTCTGCAACAGATATAAGCGGATGGGGAGAAATAAAAAGATCCTATAATAAGGTTTCTTCCAAATCACATAAATATGAATCGTTTTGCTCGAGGTGTCGCTCGGTCGGTATAGTTCGCTTGCGGACTAAAACACAGAGTTGGTTTCTTCCAAGGGTACACCACTTAGATTGACCACAGTCTTCCTGTTCTCATGAAGTTGGGGTGGATGTTGTGTCTTCTGCAAGTTGATGAACTTCTTGCACTGTCTGGCTCTAGCTACAGCTACTGCTCTCTGCATTCCAAGCCATTCACCTCCTCTGAAGATGGAGGCGATACGTTCCTCCGAAACGTCGGCCAAAACGAAGAATACACGGCGCCTAAACCCAGAAGACGACTTTCTTCATAGTCATCGCCGTGAAAACCTCAAAACTTACACAGAGTTGGTTTGTTTGTTTGTTTGCTCGAGGAGAACGTTCCCCTACATTTTGTCGCATTTCGAAACGCTCCGCTTAAGTGTGTGTGTGTGTGTGTGTGTGTGTGTGTGTATATATATATATATATNCTTGTCACTTCTACCCGCCCCTCTATCTTTCCTCCAATAACTTCTTTTAGAGGCAGTTTCTGCGTAAAATATGACCAATCCAATTAGCCTTCCGTTTTCTTATTTCGTGTAGGATATTCCACTGCTCACTGACTCTAATTAACACTTCTTCGTTTCTCACATAATCGGTCCAACTGATCTTCTCCATCCTTCTCCAACACCACATTTCAAAGCTTTCCAATACGGGTAAAAAATACTAAGTAAATTTTATTGTTTGTTTGCATGGCCTATTTATGATTACCGAATGACTATTAAAGGGACCATATACTAAGTGCATCGCATTAATTATGGAGATAACTAAACAGATTAAAGCTTTATGGCTAATGGTCTGGTCAGTAATTTGTTGCTGGCTATCGCTACCGGTCATTCTTGGTTCCGGGTCCCGCGGGACTCACGACCATATCTGCCTGTCTCACGATTCTGCGGCTCGTGCAACTACTCCTGTATGGATAATGAACAGTGGAGGGAATGCTTAATTAATGAAAGGTGGCGCGACTAAAAATACAACTTTCCTCACGGCATCAATACCTTAAGTATATATGTGAAGAACTGAAATATTCTGATGCAAACTGTGAATGTAATCACCCTGAAAACCAAAAAATGAAATATTTCGGTTCCCAGGCGCAGGACGGTAAACTGGTGACCCGAAGCGAGCGCTGGAACCTCGTGTTCACAGACTTTCTCTACGACAATTTCAAACAGAGCTCCCTGAATACCTTGGTTAGCCTCATCACACTTGACAAGGACATCTGTTGCCGCCTCTTGGACCAGGACAAAGGATGCGCCTGCCCTGATAAGTTCGAGGTATGAAGGGAAATTAATCGTTTTATTCCACAAATGAAACCCATTATATTTAATAAAAATTAATATCATTCATTAAATATTATTAAGGATATCAAACAACGAGGGTTATTCGGAAAGCAACCTCAGGTAAGCTGTTAACAAAACAAATATTGAGAAAAGAAAATTTATTATGCCGTAGCGTAGTTGGTTGAGGCACTACGCTACAAGTCGGAAGGTTTAGTCTTCGAGTTTGGAGAAGAACGCGATATGTTCCTTCGAAATGTCGGTTGACCTACAGCGAATTACATAGCGTTATATACTAAAAGACTAAACTCTTCATAACGATTGCTGTGGGAACCTCAAAACACTACATTTTTTTTTTAATATTCATGACAATCGCAACTGAAGACAGTACACATTAAAGAATTAATAATGACCGCATTCACATTACTTTATCTTATTTTTCCTTATGCCGCGGGTTCGATTCCCGATAAGGTCACTGGATTTTTCAATTGACCTAATTCTTCCAGCAGCACCATGACCCTGGGGTCGACTCAGCCTCTAAGAGAAATGAGTATCAGGAATCTTCCTGGGGGTAAAGGGCGGCCAGAGCGTAAGGCTGACAACCTTACCGCCATCCGTGAGCCGATTGTCTAGAAAATGTGAGAGCCTCGATTACTCACAACCCTGTGGGCCTCCACAGCCTATTACATGGATAGCCTTACTTTTCTACATACACACTTCAGCTATTTCTCAACGTAGTCGCCGCCGAAATCGAGGCACTTTTATCGGGAATAATTTTTTGTATGCCTCTGCCAAAGAATTCTTCCGCCTGTGAGCTCAGCCACGTTTTGACAGCTTCCAAAAATTCCTCATTACTGCTGAAGCCCTGTGACAATAACCAGCTATTCAGGTAAGTAAACAGCTGGTAGTCGCATGGAACGAGATCAGGACTGTAAAGAGAGTGGTCAAACAACACCCAGTTGAAATGTTCCAGGAGTGCTCGTGTCCGAGCAGTTGTCTGCGGACGCGCATTTTCATGGAGGAGAACTACGAGTGCACCGTATGTCAGCATTCCACGCTTTTTGTTCTGAATGGTCCTACGCAGTTCTTTTAGTGTTTCGGAATACAATTCTGACGTTATTGTGGTCCCTTGTTGCATGAATTCCACAATCAGCACTCATTTCCTGCCCCAGAAAACAGTTGCTATCAGCTTTCTTGCAGGCAGACGTTTCTTTAAACTGTTTCGGCTTGTTTGGTGAATGTGTCTATATTCACTACTCTGACTGCTCTTTGGCTTCAACATTCACAAATGAAACCCAGGTCTCATCACCTGTTACTCGTACAATGATGTTATTGAGAAATTCATCGTCATCTTTGTGGTGTCGCTCTAAAGAAAAGTCAAAGCCGGAACCATTCTCTGCGTTCAGTGCGCATTCATGAGCATTTTAGAGACCCATGTTGCACAAACTTGTGATAGTCTAGCTAAGTGCGATAACCACGTAGAGAAGAATTCGTTAAATTTGTGGAAATTCACGAGAACATTCTGAAATTGCGAAGAACCGTCTTTCACAAATTGTTTGGTCAACGCATTGAACAAAACCATCACTCACTACAGATGGCTGACTTCTTCTCTCTTCGTCGTGAACATTTGTTCGCCAATATTTGAACATTCTACACCACTGTCTTACAGTTCCTTCTCTCACTACATTTTGGCCCTAAACCGCCACGCATAATTCACTGTGGATTTCCGCAGTACTCATATGTTTAGAGTGAACAAAGCGGACAACAGCGCGAATTTCGCAGCTGGCGGGGCTATCAATCGCAGCACACATCATAACCCACTCTGTAGAGACAAGAACAAACACTAGGTAACCAGTAAAGTGATAGTTTACAAGGCAAAGAGTCATGTGACGCTACCTCTCATGCTCGAGCTCTCTCCCTCTCATATATTAGTTGCCTAAAATAAACGGAGGATACTTTCCGAATAGCCCTCATATATAGGATGAAATGGGTGGACATGTAGCACGTACGGAGATGGGAACTAGGTAACTAACTCCATTGAATAGTCAATAAATTCTCAGCATTGGGAAGATGTTGGGAAATTCTTCAGTAGCTGAGCAACTGGTGGGTTCTTAAGATCTCGGTTCCATGGAGTTGGTAACTACAGCATTTTAAATAATAAGTTTATGTGGGACCTATCATCTTACTCTTGAGAGAGAGAAAAAAAAGGAAAATATTTATACCTCGCTGTTCAAAAGAACATAAGCAAATGAAGGGTAAGACGGACAAAGGCGAGCGAAATGTTCACTTTTAAACTTGTCCCTCCCATAAAAAGGGTCTGATCGCCTAAATATCAATATCTCTAAGCATCTGGTTAGAGACAGGGCACAATAACGTTTGTTTTAATCACGTGGTATAGCGACGACAAAAAAGACAGATTTCCTTCGTAATTACAATTTTAACCTTGCCTGAAACTTATTTCCTAATTTGTGCGATAGAACTATAGGAACATATTCTGAAGTGCTGAGCTATGGATGACGCCCCTCTCCTCCCCCGCCAGCCGTGANATATAAAGAACAAAAGTGATTATACTCGTAAATACAAGTATATCTCGAGAAATGAAATGAAGTTTCCGAAAACTAATACAGAGTGACAAAAAAAATTGCTGTGATTCAGTTTTTTTTTTCTTGGCACTACAGCCCCAGTGGGCGTAGGCCTACCTCCACGAACTTCTCCGTTCACTTCGGTTTTTCTTGATCTTATACATTCGGTAGGACTCCTTGGGCGGGTGATCAGCTCGTCGCAAGGCCTCTACCTGTATACAAACACAGAAAAACGCACACACACAAACTAAACATCCATGCNAATGGACACGTAAGCGTGTTTTTCTTAATTGAAACCACTACTATTTTAGTGCCTACTTTCGCCGGTAACTACAGCAGATTAATATTTATGTTAATTGCGAGATTCTTGCATTTCATTACGACTGCCAGCAGGCTAGGCCTGTAGAAAGAGAGATCAATGTTAATATCAAATAGAGCACGTGCCGCTGATAGTTCGTTCCCGTTGGCTGACACAAAGACCGTGTTGCTAAGGAACGCGTTAAGCCGTGGTCACAACACCTGCTCAAGTGTAAAAGCGAATAATTCCACGCAAAATATTGACATTCCATTCCGCTTTTAAGAAATGATTAATCTGTTTGACAAACATGGCCGTGACGTCTGTGTACTCAAGCCGTGTAACGGGCCAACTTTTATGCCCCCGCACATGATACTCGAAATATGCATTTGGGAATTGCACGCACGCCCGACTTCAAAGAGATCATACAAGTCCCTGGTACCAGCTTCGTAATATATTACAATAAATGTATGCATATGAAATGTAGATGCACGTATGTAAACACCGGAAAGTCCTGATACCCTCATTTTCTTCCAAAATGTGTTTTATTGTCTGATCGTATATATTCTTGGCATTATCGTTGTCTTCATGGCCTGTTCCGTCCTCTTGAAGAATATGCTGATCGCTCCGTCTTAACTGTGAGCATCCTACGTTTCATTTTCTTTTCGGGTTAAAACTTTATTCGGAATCCGACTGTCTTCCATTCTTAGAACGTGATATTTCAATTGTGAACTGGATTTTCGAGTTTTATCGTTCAGATTTAAGTTGTTCATCTCTTCCATGGTTTTAGTATTTCCTAATGGATCCTTCTTTGTGTAGCCTGCTGCACTCCTCAAAAATTTCATTTCTGCAGTTTCAATTTCCTTCCCTGTCTTTTTTGGGGGGGGGGGGTTATAGTCCATATTTTGCATCCGTATGTAAGTATAGGCACCGCTATAGCTTTCCAACGCTTTATTTGTGTTTTTCTTGTCCTGTTATTCGGCATTCTTCTTCTTCTTGTGCTGCACATTTGATTATAAACACATATAAAAAAAACTGACGCATATTTATGGGTTCTGACGCCTGGGATGGCGAAAGCCCAGCGCCCTGTGACCCCTGGGACGGCGACAGCCCAGCGACGCGGCGAAAAGCAGGAGCGAGGGGAACAACTTGATGTGGAATTCGAGCCTCTCAGCATGCAAAACGCTCTGTGTCAGAAGAACTATATGACAAGAAACGAAGAGAGGACCCCAGAACAGAAGTATTTGGAGGAATTCCAGAAACGTCTAAGAGCTAAGCAATGGAGCTCGCGTTGCCACACTTGCTTGAATGTGGGCAGTTCCCACAAGACGGGGTATGGACTGGATGATTCGATTTATTGACACCTTATACACTCAACTCTTAACTACAAGTAATATAGAATTATCGCTGATCTACGCACTCTGCAAATCACTAGGATATGCCAAATCTTCTCAGTCTTCACTAGTCGTATCCTGGTAATGGATTTATAACAGTCTTACTGTCCCTGAAGCATACTGTGAAGTTTTCTTTGCACGGCCTAATTCCTTCCTTGCCATTTCTTCTCAATTCTGCCAACTTTACGACTGATGGTTTACCGTCAATCATTTCGTCTTGGCGCCAAGCCCCTTGAGACACGTTTTTCAACTGAATGCTTGCGGTTATGGTCCTTATGTAACATCCCCTCAGACGAGATGATGGGTCTGTCGTTTACAATTGCTGCTGGTCCTAGCCAGGGCAGTCATTCTCAGGTCCGAGTCCCGCGGAACTCATGAACGTATTTTACTGTCTCAGATTCGAGACTCTCCCAGCCTGGCGGACGAGGTCCCCGTATTTATATCCCCCGGGTACAGGGTAGCCCAGTTATACACCCACGCACTGAGTTCCCTGGCCGTTGCATTGAAACGGTATTTCTTCTACTGTTGCGTGCGTGTACATTTCCGCGGTGACCTGTTTACCGCCGTTGCCTAGCAATGAACTATTCCGGCTTTCAAGCATTATGTCACAATACATAAATGAGCATATTTCATATATTATGTTCTTTTAATTATTCAGAAGGTACATGAAACGTACACTTCAGACTGGCCTCAGAACCAACCTTAACTTTTCTAGTGCTACTAGCCGGAGCTGTGTTCCATAATCTTTCACAAAATCATCACTGACAAGTAAGGCAATGTACACATAGCAGAACAATTCTGGCGAGTTCGCTGCCCTTTGGTTCATCTTCACGAAATGGTCAAATGTAAGGTGTTTAGTTTTTCTCTGGATTTATGAGCGTCAAATTTCTCGCCCTGACGAACATTCGTCGAGTTTCGGTCAAGATGTCAGCAAAGCGCACGTACGTTTTGATGTAATGTGCCCGTTTTCTTGTCGGGTATATACATTTTAGTAAAACTCCCCAATATAAAATGTAATGAAAACGCGTTCAGTTCAGCTCTTACATGTGGACATAATTTTCTTCAACAACCAACTGATAGATCAAGCAAAATACGAGGTCTGACAATAAAATTCGTGAACTCGCCAGCGTGTGCTTGCCGTGGCAGCAGTGGACAGAATCCTCAGTATGGTTTGAAGACGTTGGCATATCAGAGTTTCACAGCTGTGTTGTTGTTGATCAATGGCAGTCTCTATCTGAGTGGCGTCTATTATTGTCTGAGTGTGTTTTGGTGTGCCGTCGCGAGAATTTGAGCACTGTCTGTGAGTGAGTTTTTAGTTAGTAAAATATAACTGTACTGGAACACCCTCCCTATTCACCGGATCTAGCCCCCAATGATTTTTTTCTATTCCCGAAGATAAAGAAAGTATTGAAAGGAAGGCATTTTGGTGACACTGATAACATCAGGAGTAATATGACGGCAGCTCTGAAGGCCATTCCACAAAACCAGTTCCAAAATTGTTTTGAAGCGTTTACTAAGAGCTGGAATCGGTGCATAGCTTCGCAAGAGGAGTATTTAGAAGGTGACCTCACTGATATTCAGCATAACTTTTACCGTTATGAGGTCGCGAACTTTATTGTCAGACCACGTAGAACTTCAGGCGGACTGATATGCAGTTCGTCATAATGTCGGTTACCATCGACCGCCATCGACACTGAAAGCCCTGGAAACGGATGACTGACCGCTTAAACAGGTTAAAGTTGATCCCCTGTAAACATGGTATGACGCGTCCTCCAAATGTGGAAAGTGTATCTCAAACATTTGCGAACAGCTAATGAGTGACCATCGAGTTCGGGGTCTGAACGCATAATATGAATTGTTACACAGAGCCTCGAACTTCGAAAACACTTGCTAATACGACAATGAAACTTCGGATTAGTTAAAGATGGATAATTTATGGACTGCACATTTGTTTCTCAAGCAGGACTGTGACCCATGAGGTCCGCTACGTCGTACTGTATAATGAATGTATAAGGAGTGGGTCTTCTTGGCCCTTGCACCGCGACCATAGTGATCTGTTGTGCCTTACGTCGTACTTGTTGTGACCATCCGCTAGTGTTAATACATTAAACAAAGAAAATCAAAATGTATTAACTAATATGTCTTCCTTGGCCTAATATTTTGACAGCGGTATTTCTTCCGCGCCAAACTTTATAATTATATAGCCACAACAAAATTTCCTGAGCCTTGTTCCTGAAAATGGAGTGTATCATGTAACGTTCAAAGTTGGCATTATGGCACGCGAGTGTTTATAGTGTGCAAACCTACAATTCACCCAACGAAAAAAAAATCTCAGTGGCCTCTAGTCCTGAAGCGAACTATACCGACCGAGAGACCGCCATTTGTCGGCGCAGTTAGTGCCAACTTTTGCAGATAGAGGATGTCACGTGGTCAGCGCAACAGATTCCCACGGCCGTTAATCTCGGTTTTCTAGACCGGAGCCGCTATTTCCTTGAAATAGCTCCTCAATTATTCTCACGAGGCTGAGTGGACCCCGTTCCAGGCCCACTACTTCTCAGAAATTCACCCCCATCACATTTACTATACATTTTTTTCAATACACTTTGTAAGATTTACGTTTAAGGGACAATACTTCGTATGCCGCAAGTAACTGTACAAAAATGTAAAAAATTAAAACTTAATTAAAAACGTAATATAAAATCCTCTCCCAGAAATTAAGTAATAAGCAAATATTCATTTGAGAGTAATAATATCTCAGACAAAGCATACATTTCCCCTTCTTATCTTCCTTTTCTGTAATGCTTCAAGACAACAAAAACTGTTTTGCAAACTGACTTTAACAGTTTACATGACGTGTGTCCATCCATCGCTCAAGAGGCATGTGTAACAAGGGCTGACTTATTTGTGACATAATTGATTCAGTACTGATTTCTACACATCATTTAAAACATAATTTATAATGAAAGCTATGATTATGTGATGCTAGATCCTTCCTGTCTACATGAAAGAAGTGATCATGTTCTTGGGTGACCTCTTGGTGGAAATGAAGAAGAGCGGTTCAGATCTGTCTAGACCGGCAGGCGAATGGGGAGCAGACTGTCAAAACGTTGACGCTAAGACAGCTGACAACACTACAAGAGACAAGTTCTATGAACTTATGCCACAGGTAAAACTAATGCACCATATCTTTGGTTGTAAATTGGAGATCCAGCATAGAGTGGCAACAAAAACAAACAAACATGAGGGAAAGAGAACTGTGATGTCATTAAGTTATCTGCTATCAATTGAAATCATATCATCATAATTCACCTCTTAATACACAAAGGTTGTTCAAACAAAACCCTTTTGGGGGACCATTATGGGTGATAGCATAGAGGACATTAAAAACAATTCCCAGGGGCATACAGACAGTTCTCTCATTGATTCACTAGCTGATGCATCCACTTCACAAAGGACTTCTTCTGGACCACTGCTTGAGCCACTGCATTATTATAGCCCTGTTGTTTTCACTGCATCAAAATCTACAGCCATTTAGAGTTTCCTTGGGTTAGCCAAACAAGGCTGAACTTGTGTACAGGTTTCACTTGAACAACTCTCATATAACTTAGGCCAACAGTATACTGTAAATAAAATTTTAAAATTTGTTATTATCCTCGTGATGTACCTCTCTTCCAGGTGCTGGTACATCATAATGCTCTTGGGTTCAACCAGTCTCGATGGCTTCTTTATTACCATAATGACATGGAAATAGTTTTGGCCAATAGTTCAAGCAGAGACAGACTTGCCAAGTGGACAATGGATGAAGGACTGTCTGTCAAGCCAAATGTTACTCTTGCACCAACAAAGCGTTTCTTTAGGGTTGGAACTGCTGAGGTAATTTGCATGATAATGACACAAAATGTTAAAAAACAGACTAGCATGTACAAAGCATAGTAAAATTTAATGAATAATAAGTTTCAAAATCATGTAGTAATATTTATCAACCCTAAAAACTACACCTTATAAAAACAATTATGTACTGTAGGGAAAAGGAAAAAAGAACTAATCTTCCTATCAATGAGCATACAATAAAAAGTTTTCTTTTTACTTTTGTTACATTACTATCATTCATTTTTGAGGAAACCTACTATACATTACAGTAAAAAAATTTCTGTTCCATGTTACGCCTTCATTCACCCACCCAAACTGCAACAGAAATCTCTCTAGAGATATAACATTGCTCCCATATCAATCTAATATTCTCAAGAACTTTACATCCCAATTTGCTGTCAGTAGAGTTTATTATTCACCATACCACGCTCTATTTGAGTAGATAAGACATATCATTTGTAAATTCTGCCAAGTTATCCATCAATTAAACATATAACAAAATGGAATATTGTGAACAAAAGATATAAAATACTTTACTTGACAAATAACGGGACTGATGCCAGGTTTAAAGTCTTCTGGGGCATGATGCCATGTAGTTTAGTATCAGAGTTTTCTATGAACCTTCTGCCCATATTTTTAGGAGAGAAAGTTCATCCAAAATGCTGGTAACCATCTACCATGCTATATGGCATCACAAAAGACCATAATCTTAATGAGTACTATTTTCATAGCTAGTGCCATAAGCATCTCAATATTTACTGTTATGAGATAATGAAATGTCAATTGGACCAACATTTTTATGCAGCAACTGTTACCACTGTTGAGTGAGTATATAGACTTCCTTTTCCTTGGATGTCAAGATGTGTAGGCTGTTATTATATACATTAATCTGATTTTACTTTCCCCTTAGGCCATTCCATGGTCATATATGAAGAGAAATCCATCAACTAAAGAGATCATGAGGGATGCTGAAGGAAATATCTTGTGGGAAGGATACTGTATTGATCTGTTACAGAAACTGTCTGAGCTCATGGATTTTGATTATGAGATTGTCCCACCAGCAAATGGGGAATTTGGTAAACGTTACCCAAATGGAACATGGGATGGTATGGTGGGCGATCTTGCTATGGGAGTAAGTATGATTTTCATGTATTATACCAGCCTGTCAGAAATGTATATAAAATTTATTTGAAATACTTTGCACTAAGAGTCGCAAAATATTTATTATATGAAGCACAATAGACCACTGTAGGTTGTTGTGCAAGGGCCAAGAAGGCCCACCCCTTATACATTCATATGAATCATTTAATTACCTGCAGTTCACCACACTTTAAATTTAATTACTTAACATTTACAGAGAAATCTCTCAACGTCATACTTTGAAGTAAGGAAAAAAGAAATATTCTGATTTACATTTATTATACGTGTTGATAGGGAGTTATTACTTGTGTCTGCTTTAATTCTTAGGATGAAAAACACAATTATTCCACCAAATATTAACTAAAAATTAAGACTCTGGTACTACGTCTGCATAAGTACTAATACTGTAAAATAAATGAATACATAATTGTATGAAAGAGTTTTTGTCCCTTACCTAAGTATCACGAGGATTTATATCAACATCTATAAAAATTAAACAACTGTAATATTTTTACTCACAAAATACAGGCCAATAGTTAGGCATATTAATAAGGGGTGTCACTAGAAAGTACCAAGAATTAGTCTGTAAACAGGTTAAAACTCAACTTACCAGCTGTTGTTGCCCTTTTGAAGTTATTCCTTTTGGCAGCTAAGCACAAAGCTGTTCCTTCCTTCTGCACATTTTGGAATGCACCGCTGGCATTACTTTTAGCAAGTGTTGCATGATGCTGCACAACCCAAAATGCATCCCTTCCAGTAAAGGTTTTGTAGCTTAGAATTGAAGTCACACAGACCCAAACTGGGAGAACTAGGAGGATGTTTCACCAAAAGGATCTGTTTTAGTGCCAAAAATTGCTTCATCAGCACCACAGCGTGAGGTGCTGCATTGTCTTGACACAACATCCACTTGTCTAGTCACGAGTCGTGCCTTTTACCCCACACTTTCCCTCAAATACAGTAGAATTTACAGATAAAGAATCAACACACAACTGCTCAAACGGCAACCTAAGAAACATGTTACAACAAAAGCCAACAGGTTTGAGGCAGGATGTGAGAGCAAGATTTCACTGTAGCCATTACTGGAACGTTCTAGCCACACCACATTTGTAATGATGTAGACGAGAGGCAGTTCTGATGCTGTGGTGAGAAGACAGCAGTGAAGACATCACTCAAACAGTCATAATGTGTCCATTGTCTAAAGAAGAAAGAAGCACAGGAGTGAATAGCATAATTATAAAAAAAACACAAACATGTGTATAAGAAATGTGTGATTAAATTAATGTTCCAAAAATGTGCAACATCTGTAAAATCTCTACTTTTCCACCAGCAGAGGATCCCAGAGCCCAGAAATGCATAATATGTGGTGAGCTAAAATTACCAAGAATCTTTTCAGTTTTTAGCCTTCACTACAGCACAATCCCTTAACTATATTAAAGTCATCTAGCATTTACATTATGTGAACATGTGGTTGTAAAAGAGGAAAAAATAAAACAAAACAAAGATAAAGTTAGAGATAAAGGGAGAGTCGGATAAGAAAAATGTACAAAGTCTTTGTTCTTTCATATATTACTCACATGGGGTAAAATCATATCGTTATTTTTTTCACTAGTTCCTGTCATTCACTCCAGGGTTTCACATGACACAATGAACATTATGCAGACCTGGAATTAATGATTATATGGAAATGGAACCAATCTTGCTTAAAGCATCACATGATGACTAAAACTGCCTCGTACGCATAACAATCTCCATACTGTAAAGTTATTGATGATTATTTGCATATGTTTGTTTACTTACAGATTATAGCCTAACAAACTGCCCTATCTTGTAAACTCGGTTCCTTTCTATATACACAGACTGCTTTGTTATTCAGACATCACAAATAGTTTTCTGTGTAACTAGAGACTGCACTTTTCTGTTATTTATATGAGTAACATGAAAAAAAAACATGCAGTTAAACTATACAAGGCACATTGTATACGGTAATGTAACATTTGTCCCTGTGCTTAATTAATTAAGCACCACGCCATGAAGGCGCATGGGGAAGCGGAGGTAGATCTCCACGTTTCTGTACCTCGACGCTAAACAGAGGTGAATGGGCAGCCACACGTCCCGGCCGTTTTAATCCCATGGAGAGAGCTCACGACATCTATTGAACTGGAAGGCTGGGTTGGTTCCAGGGCCGGCCTCCACGTTACAGAGAAGAGAAAAATCTCTTGCCATCACCAGGAATCGAACCCTGACCATCCAGTCCCTAGCCCGTTGCTATACCGGCTCATATATATGTCAGAATATTATACCAAATAAACGCTTTTCAATAAAGTAAACGCACATGTAAACACTACATACCGTATCACTTCGATATGAGACGCGCCCAGTTTTTGAATGTGTTTTGGAGGGAAAAATTAGAAAGGTGCACATGCCAAGAATTTATGAAGCGCCTCAATTTTTTCGACGGAAAAATGTGCTTTATATTCGAAGTACAATACGGTATATAACATCAATAGTAAAGTACCTACAGCCGCTAGTCAGATCCCCTGAGTTCTGAAGGTTTCACACAAATCACGTGGACTTACTTTTCTTTGACACTGGGTCAAAATCTGTTACTGATAAAACACGTTTTCTACATCATCACTGAAATTAATGCTAAGAATTAAGTAGGTACAAGTAAAGCAACACTTGTAAGCGTAAAATACATTTGCGACAACGTGAAATAATGTGTGAACTGAACACTAAGAATTCAACGAACCGCACGCAGTAGAAATTATTGACATATTCAATTTTCAACAACTTGTTAGAATTACAGGTATGCATAACATGACAATGATAAAGACAATATGTGAGTCAAATTAGGAAAGTTGTTTGAAAGAACCTGAGAATGTATACTGCCATCTGTAGAAATTACAAGATATGTCAAACCAGTGACACTGGCTCAACAGCTGATTTTGACATACGATCCTCAACAGCCCCGCAATTTTTAACGAATTCGGCAGCATTATTTCTGAAGAGTTCTATCTTTTGGGATGTAATGCCGTGTAGTCTGTTGAAGGCCAACCGAGGTTTCGGAGGAACATGTCGCCTCCACCCTCAGTACAGCTGCTACATGCTTCATTCTGGTGTCTTGCTTGGTTTATTCTTTGACCCTGGAGAAGAACGCGATATGCTCTTCCGAAACGTCGGTTGACCTTCAGCGAACTACAGGGCATTGTTTCCTAGATGACCAAACTCTTCATAACGCTGCTGTGAGAACCTCAAATCCTACATTGCATTTTTCTTTTTTAATATTCATGACAATTGCAACTGAAGAATATTAAAGGAGATTAAAAAAGAGTCGGGATAGCTCAGTCGGTATAGCGTCTGGCTGCGCGCTGGACGAGGGAGGGGTTGGGGTTCGAGTCCCGGTAGGGTCAAAAATTTTCTCATCTTCACGCCGTCCAGACCTGCCCTTTGGCCCACCCAGAGTCTTATCCAATGGGCACCGGGGACTCTTTCCCCGGGCATAAAGCGGCCGGGAATTGAAGCTGACCACTCAACTCCAACTAGTGCCAAGGTCAAGAAAATGTGTGTCTGTACATCCATTCCACCATACGTCTTCATGGCGTAGTGCTGAATTAGTTACGCAACTAGGACAAATTTACCTTTCTCCAGACTAAGGAATTGATAATGGTTATATAAATATTACTTTATCTTTTTTTATCATGGCCGCGGGTTCGATTCCCGATGAGACCATTGGATTTTTCAATAGACCTAATCCTTTCAGCCGCACTATGGCCCTGGTTTCGACTCAGTTTCTAACAGAAATGAGTACTAGGAATCTTCCTGGGTGGTAAAGGGCAGCTGGCAAGTAAGGCTGACAATCCCACCACCATCTGTGAGCAGACTGGCTAGAAAATATGGGAGACCCAACATCTCACAACACTCTGGGCTTTCACAGACTGTTACAGGGATAGCTTTACCGGAGCAATTTCTAGCTTGCTGAATTTCTGTATATGTCTGAATTCCCCACTGGCATATGAATATTGGAAGCATGGTGGAAATAGAATCTAATAGAAACTTAATGATACTGATTACTAACAGTGACACACACTTGTCCCCAAAGTATATGGAGCACAGCAGCAGTTAAACATTGTTCCATGAAATTTAAAAGTTGTATTTAAAAATTTCCACTCTCTCGGATTTTTATATGACTTTTAAAAACTTTTTAGACAGCTAAATAACCTTTGTTCAAAGTAGCAATACTAATTTTCAGATCTAAGTGCAAAGCTATTCAGTTCCATAAAATAAACTGAATATTAATCACAATTAGGTTACCACTTGATATCAAACTCAGTGTTACTTTAGTAAGTTTGAATACCCATATTTCAGTATAACTACAGCAGCATACCTATGGGCCTGGGCACAGCTTAACATGATCTGGGCATCTTACATGCCTCTACCTCAACCATAAGCACATAATTAGCATTCTTATACTTGTTGTCAGAAATGTTTAACAAATGTACTTTCAGGAAACAGACATGGTAATTGCACCCCTTACTATGACATCAGAGAGAGAAGAGGTCATTGACTTTGTGGCACCATACTTTGACCAGTCTGGAATATCCATTGGTAGGTATCTAGTGCGTACACTGAAGTACTTTTATCATCAGGTATCTGAGTCTCCAGTTAACATGGATATTAAATATCAATAAAGGGATGAGTTGTAAATGCATCAGGACAGGCAATAACATTATGAGGTCATGTTCATCTCAGCCACATCTTTGTGTAGTGGATTTATCTGAGGTATTAGTTTAGTCTATCAGACCCCATGAATGTCACACACAAATTACAAATTATAAGAGCATGCATCTTAGTGTGCCTTACAAGTAAGTAAGACATTTTAGGTGTTGCACCAACAATTTCAAAGTTCATTTAATAACTGCTGTATTTGTAATTACAATTAATCTGAATAATTTATTCATGCAATGAATTAAATGTAATCACTGTTGCATAATATAACTTTAAAAACATTTATTTAACATAAATCATGTTATATATATATATGATTTTTTCCTGTTTCCAGTAATCAGGAAGCCAGTTCGCAAGACATCACTTTTTAAATTCATGACAGTGTTGCGACTTGAGGTGTGGCTAAGTATTGTGGGAGCCCTGACAGTCACTGGCATCATGATCTGGATCCTTGACAAGTATTCACCATACAGTGCTCAAAACAACAAGGCTCTTTACCCTTACCCTTGCAGGTATAACATGTACAATGTCTTATTTATTGATTCTCTAAACGGTTGTGACAATGAACCATTCATTATATAAAGCTTATGTTGGACACTGTCCATTGTCTGCAGTGTATTTAGAATACAAATGTTGGAATATGCATCTACTTCAATTGCCAAATATGGGAGAGTTACTACTCAGTTTGGTCTGTTACGAGGAATTAGTCTTGATCACTGAACTCATTCAGCATGCTTAATGAAACTGGACAATAAACTTGCTATAAACCAAATCTTAAGTCCGAAAAACTTACACTTCAGCGCCATGTAGTACAGCTCATATCATGGATTTGATTATTTTGCTGTTCGAACCCCTGTCCTCTAGTCATATTTCATAGTCCAAAACAGTTAAAGAGTATGAAAACTCTTCACTGTAGTGCAGCTCCAGCATATTTGTAAAGTTACATTCTGCTCTCAAAAGCCTACATGCAACATTATCAAGTTGGTAAAAACAAGTTCTGCTGTCAAGATACTTAATAACTGATGTGATCAGGATTGTAATGAGCTTCTGTAATATTTTCATACGGAAAATCTTGTGAACTTAATCTGTAGCTTATTAATGCTACAACCAGGCAGCAAACTAAATGTTACAGTATGATGGATAACAGTTTCTTTTCTAGCTACCCAAAACTGCTCTCTCATAAATGCCTGACAAATCAACTCCTCTTTTGCTATCTACGTAAACTGTAGTATAATTTATGTAATTTACATAGCTACAATTGCATTACATATTTACTTAAAAATGGTACCACAAACTGCACAAAAGAAGAAGAAGAAGAAGATTATAAAGTCATCTATTACACTGCAACAAGCTGTAAAATTTTCTCTTTCATGTTATTCACTAACACTCTCAGCACTGAGACTATGTAGTATTGATGATAGGATGATCAATATGGAGCAGTTAGTGTAGTGAGAATTAGAAGGGGAAACCAAAGTACTTTGGAAGAACTTGCTGTAATGTCACTATGTGCACCACAAATCCCACAGTACCTGGTCTGAGTTAAAACTTAGGCTGCTGTGGTGGCAAGCCTGTGGCTAACTGCCTGAACTATAGCAAAGAAATACATATATATATATATATATAACAAGATCTCCCAGGAGGAATAGACCACACT